GTAGGCGTGGTTGTGGTGTGTGTGTGTGTGTGGGGGTGTGTGTGTGTGTGTGTGAGAGAGAGAGAGAGAGAGAGAGAGAGAGTGAGTGAGTGAGTGAGTCAGAGGTGGCATTTAATTAAATAACATTGTTAGGGTAACTAGTTTCTTCATCAACAAAGAAGACTATGTCATTTAGATTCTTACTGTTTACATTAAAAGTGCATAATACTAGTACTAGATAATAAACTAACCTTCCATTCTGCTGATAAAACTGGTCTTCAAATTCCCGTAGTGTTTTGCGTAATTTCTTTTTTTCAGCTCTGGCTTTCCAAAGTTGCTCCAATAATTCAGGCCTAGAAATGCATTGCAATAAAAATACATTGGATTAACAGCATCATCAATAAAGAAGGAGAACACCACTTCTTAGATAGGAAGTGCCATTTGTTCAAATGTTGATTAATTCTTTGGTGGAAGGTGTTTCATTGGGGGACATTTTAAATTATTCTCTTGTTGTTGACACAGAACAACAACATTAATTCTGTTGAACTAACAAAGTAGAATGACATTTCAAACTGAACTTCCTTAGCCTGCTACACCCCATACCCTGTAACAATCCACAAATACCTGTTGAAAAATACCTAGTAGTTATTTTGGTTATGTTTTAGTAATTGCTCACGGTTATATTTACGTACATGGAAGCTGCACGTGTACTAGACAGACGAAGCTCTCGAGTCAATTTCTCCTGACTTTCTTCAACATCAGATTCTGAGTTTTCAACTGGGCTAGTAAGAAGAGGTTGCATTTGGCCATTCGATTTGAGGAAATCGGTCAGCTCTGATGACAGTTCACCTTCTTCTTCTTCTTCCTGCAAAATAATGAAACAGTTAGAAGAACATGTACTAGGCATTTCATTTCCCAGGAGCGGGTACACTGGTCTACACAAACATTAATTTTTATAGTTCTCTGACAGCACTCAGGATAGCATTAGTGAGATGCTGCTGCAGTATTCAAAATCAAATCACTACATTATGACCACTGTCACTTCTGGATAATAAAATACCTTTATTTCTTCAAAGAAGTGGGCTGTTTCTCCCTCTATGATAGGCTGTAATGTTTGACTTCGTCTTTTGGTTGATGGTGATCCCTAAAACATAATCAAGTTAAGTAAGACAAAAGTAATGTTTTGTTCTATTTATTTTTTGTATACAACTTCATGTTATGCATCTTCCTGCAGGAGCAAAACAGCACACTGAAATCTAGCCATCTACCTTCAGTCATCTGGTACCAAAATAAAGTGAGAACACTAAATCCTTAGTGGCATTGATGCCCTGGTGCCAACTACTACAAATAAGAGGACGTGGCTGTTCTAGTTTTCTCAAGCGGCTGGAGAAAGATGACCTATTTTAAAAAATGACACATGACTTCTGACAGAAGTCTGAACAAACGTTGAATGCTGTGAAAGAAACAGGCTCATCAACTGTTATGACTGACATAAGCTAAAGAAAGTACTAAGAACTCTTCAATTGAGCACTAGCTATCCAAAACCATGATTAATGTTAATAATATTTTCTAGCCAGTACTACACTACCCAGCTCTAATAGGTGATCTTCAGCACAAGGACTAGAGAAGGAAAACACAAGACAAGATATATTCTCAGCACTGGGTAAGAGAATATCAATCAAATGGATATTCTATACTCACAAGGATTGGAGTAATACTTGCTCGAGTTAACATTTGTTTCACCAGCCTATATCTGTCATAGAGGGGTTTAACAACATGCCTTTCTTCTCTGGAAACCTAAGAAGAGAAAAAAATACAGCTCACCTAACCCTGAAAATAAAACTGCCTCTCTTCTACACTGAGGAACATAGGGTTTATTTCTAGCAGCAAGGAACAATACAGCAAGGGTAAATGGCTTTTGGGGATTTTCATATAATAGCAAATATCTGAGTAGAAAAATAAGTCTGACACTGATAAATTGAGCCCAACAGCAAGTTATAAGCACCTAACATGAGACATAGCTTCAGTTACTTAAAGGGAGATAAATCTATGGATTCCATGGTTTAGAGACAGCAAGTAGGAGACAACAGCTGTTTTTAAAAGAACAGCCAGCCTTTATAAATAGTAACCCAGTACAGCATAACCTGCTCAGTCACAAGTACCACACAGGTTTCTTCCTTTTTGTTAGTGTTTGGAAGATACCCTGGACAACCCACTCAAGGCAGGATCTACAACCAAAGCAAGTACAGTATCTACCATTGCTCAAGAAGGATTGTACCACAATGAGAAGTACACCTTTCTCTAACCACTATGTAATACTCTTAATTTCCCTTCAACAGACTGTGTGTTTCCCTAACATGTAAACTAATTTTTTCTCCAACTTTTCTGATATTTGGATTGCCATACTTCTACGTATCTCTGTTCCTAGCCAAACAGAAGTTGAAGGCTTTGATATAAAGCAAAGCGAAAGACAGTGGATAACTGGCAACTCTTTGTCCGTGATTATAGAAAAAGACAAATTTACATCTTCTGAAATAAAACCTGATACCTCAAGGTGATTCTACAAGATTGCAGCCTCTGTTTTGGAACTTTTTTTTCAAAACTAAATGTTTCCTGTGCCCAAGTTCTGCAATTGTCCAGCCCAACAAAGATCTTACAGGATTCAAAAGCTAGCCTATTTTTGAAGTATTTGGGGCATAAGGAGGTATCAGTCACTTTAAGAAAAAAAAAATCTGCACAAGGAACATACATCTATTTCTTTTGTGATACTTCATCAAGATACAAGCAGTGAAGGCCAACATCCATTTAAGGTTTCCGGAGAGACCATGCTATTGTCAATATGTTGCTGTTGTTTAGTCGTTAAGTCATGTCTGACTCTTCCTGACCCCATGGACCAGAGCACGCCAGGCCCTCCTGTCTTCCACTGCCTCCCAGAGTTTGGCCAATATACAGATACAGAATGTGCACAATACTGCATATCAATATACAATAAACATGGGCAGTAGTGGTGAAAAACAGCATGTATTTCAACATATTCATGTGTTAGCGACTACAAATTAAAAATTATACTATAATAAAGAATGTTAACAGAAATCTAACACTCAGAGGTTTTTTCTCAAATTAGTGGGGTGGTGGTGGTTGGTTGGTTTTCCAAATATTGGTTTGAGAAGGAACCACATGAATTCTATTTAGGCATTTCAATTGTAATATGCATTTGAATGGCTGCCCTTTGAATCTTACTTTGCATTCATTCTTTCTGGCCTCAACGTGGCACATATCCAATCAACATGCTATTTTAAGAACCATTGGGGAGTCGTAAGACTGGAGAATTATTTGGGACAGGTGTTCAGTGATCCTGCACAACCATGCCAATTGTGCCTTAAATAATTTCTGAGGGTGGAGGCAAAGTATGAAATATTACCGGACGTCCATATTGACTTTCATAGTACAGGAGACTTTTTTGAAGTGATGTTTTTTCTTCTGCTAGGTTGTCTTTTGTCATTTTCTATAATGAAAGAAAAATACCAGGATCTTACTTGCCGATGCACACTCTCTTCTGAAAATAAAATTGTCAAAAACTAAAGAATTCTACTAAATAAGAGAGCTGCATTTTTACTCCAAAGGACCCAGCTCAGAGAGATGCTCTTACTAAAGAAAACTTCCCCTTCATTTCATGTTCAGAAAACATTTCATATGCCCCCAAGCATAGAGGGAATGGCAATACTGTACTCTTACTCTGCAGAATTCCCATTTGGGAATTTGCCACCAGTTGACCTCTGTCAACACCCTTTAAATAGAAAGATTGAGGTTCATGCTGAGTATAAAGTTGAACAAAACAGGTTTACTGATTGCAGTTCACTTCAACAGGTTCTTCACATACTTTAAAGTATTCATTAGATTAGTAATAACTTGTTTCACTCTTAACTCTCTATCAGTTCCACATTCTTAACTGCCTACCTTAACTCCTCACTATACCATACCCTCTAATGCCCACAGACTAACTTCTACTTCAGACTGCCATCTCTGACTCAAACTCCCTAACTGACTTCTCACATCAGACTCTCCTCTCTGACTCAAAACCACTGAGTCAAAGATTTTTTTAAAGTTTCATCTTTTAAAATTAGATTACTGTAAGTCACTGATTTAACAACATATTCAGAAATCTAGACATGTCAGAAAAAAACTCTGCAGGAGCATTTCCTCTGTACGTATGGCCAAAAAATTGTACCTTTACATCTTCTGGCATGCATCTTTCAATTCGTTTCTCCTTCAGTCTTTTTAAAATGAGTTCAACTGTGGCCTCCTTTGTCGGTTTCTTCTCCTTCTGTGCAACCCGCATATCATCTTCATTCACTTCATCTTCCTGATCCAGAGAAGAGCCAAAGCTTTTTGGAAGAGTGTTACTTCGTGGGCGTGTCTGAGGTATGAATTCTCCTTCTGAACTTTTGTGCTTTGCATCTGTAATAATTACAAAAGACAAACTCAAACTTAGATTGCCATTTAATCATCTGAGTTAAAACAGGTTTAAAGACTGACAGTGACAGGATGGTTTGCACAGCATAACAAGCCAATATTCCAAGGGTTTATTGTGACATGCATACTGGGTTCATGTATAAAAAACCCATAAATGTTCTTGGGACACAATTACAGAATTAGATATTATGTCTCTCCAAAAATGGCTACTGAAATATGTATAGCTGCAAATTGAGAAGATAAACACAGATCGTTTACCTTTTATTTGCTTTTTCAATTTGGTAAGTTCTGTCATCCACTTTAAAACCTTTGGATTTGCAGCAATATCTGAATATGAGGGCTGAAAAGATACAAGTAAACATTAGCATACATTGATCAAACAAAATATGAATCACGGATTCCTTATCACTCATTATGCCATTGGAAAAAGGTTCTCCATGGCCCTTGCTGGACAAAATGTGTTGTTCCGGCAATCAATATGCTAGCAGGCCCGGTTTAGTTTTCTTACCCACATGGTAGAAAATTCTGGAGCAGATTATAAAGTGGTCAGTCTGTAAGCAGCTTGAAACAATGCAGCAATAATCAGAAGCCAACAGGGATTTGTCAAAAACAAGTCCTGCCAGAGTAATCTTACCTCATTTTTATAAAATAAGCTGACCTCCCAGATAAATGGCAGGAATGTTGTGTATGTAATATATCTAGACTTCAGCAAAGCTTTTGACAAAGTGCCCAATCATATTCCGATTAGCAAGCTAAACAACTGCCAGGTGGATATGCAGCTGATTACAGAATCATACTAAGGGGGTCAATGCTCTCTTCTCATACTGAAGGGAGGTAACAAGCAGGGTACCACAAGAATCATTCCTGGATCCGGTGCTTTTCAACATTTTTATTAATGATAACGACTTGGATAAGATGGATGATACAAAATTGGGTGGAATAGCTAATGATGTGGAAGACAGAAACAAAATTCAAAGAGATTTTGATCAGCACAGGGCTGAAAACTGTTATGTGACCACTTCACAGCCCATTTCAAGCTAAGATTGATGCCATTCGTAGGGTAAGTTTTTGTGGGTTTTCCAGGCTGTTTGGCCATGTTCCTAAGGTTTTTATTCCTAACGTTTCGCTCAGAGCACAGAGTTCTGACTCCAGTCCTCTGAAGACGCCAGCCACAGAGACTGGCAAAACATTAGGAAGAAAAACCTTAAGAACACGGCCAAACAGAGTGGAAAAATCACAACGATCATCAGATCCCGGCCGTGAAACCCTTTGAAAATACATTCATAAGGACTTTAAGTTTGATAGTACAGCAATAAGTCATATCGAGATGTCCAACTCTGAGACTTGTCCAGTTATACTGGATCAATTTCAGCCTGTAATGCCTCATAATGTCCACAATGCACTTGCATGCTCTAAGACCTCCCCCCCAGCTGAACTAATGCCCTTCCTGGCTTCTTAAATGAGCCAAGGAATGATGGTTGAATAGACCACTCAAATCATAAATTCCTTCTTGCAGGAATATATGTTCTCTTGTTGGAATTATCCGGCCCATTCTTAAAAAGGTCAACATGGACTATCATCCTGTCACCGATATCCTGTTTGTGAGTAAACTGATCAAGAAGATGGTGACTGGCCACTTGCAAGTGTTCTTGAAAGACACTGATAGTCTTGATCAATTTCAGCTTAATGCATTGCTTAATGTCATGCTTAAGTTAAAAGGTCCCTGTAACAGGCCTGAGCTTTATAAACACTGAAATGTAAATACAGTGGTGCCTCGCTTAACGAGTGCCCCGTTTAATGATGAATCCACATACCGATGTGGATTTTACAATCGCTTTTGCGATCACATTACGATGTTGAACCGCCTGCATTCCCCTTCGGAAGGGGCATTTTTCCCCAGCTCAGCGGGAGCCCTGCCTCTCAGCTGGGGGAAAATGTCGGCGGTGGCCTCGGAAGGACCCCAGAGCCACCGCCAACATTTGCCTTCCGAGCTCTCAAAGGGCCCCCTTCCGACATTGGAGAAAACCCTTTGAGAACTCGGAAGGCTCTCAGCGGTGGCGGGGGCAGGGTAGGGGGGTCCCAAAGGCTTCCAGACCTTTGCCTGGAAGCCTTCAGGACACCCCCCCTGCAGCCACCGCCGCTTGAAGCTGCCCCGCGCCGCTTACCCCACCCGTTCTCAGACTTCCAGGCGTCCGAGCACGGCTGGGGTAGGCAGCGGGGGGTGGCTGCCAGTGGCGGGGACAGGGTAGGGGTGTCCCGAAGGCTTCCAGACCTTTGCCTGTAAGCCTTTGGGACACCCCCCCCTGCAGCTGCCGCCACCGCTTGAAGCCGCCCCGCGCCGC